AAAGTGCAGAAGGAAACATCCATTTAAACTCAGTGTGCTGCTCTGGGATGCTAGTTCAAGTCAGATACTTGGCATCTCATCTTGGGTGCAAGTTCATCAATGTTTAGGGTCAGGCTCTGAGCTGAGGAGACCCTCAGGGTGGAGTGAAGGTGTGCGTGCAATATACCGACGGGCCAGATCTAATAGGGTCTCCTCAGCTCAGAGCCTGACCCTAAACATTGATGAACTTGCACCNAGAGAGAGAGAGTGTGTGTGTGTGTGTGTGTGTGTGTGTGTGTGTGTACCTGTGTGTGTGTGTGTGTGTGTGTGTGTGTGTGTGTGTGTGTACCTGTGTGCGTCGCTGTGTGTACCTGTGTGTGTCGCTGTGTGTGTGTACCTGTGTGTGTGTGTACCTGTGTGCGTCGCTGTGTGTGTGTGTGTACCTGTGTGCATGTACCTGTGTGTGTGTACCTGTGTGTGTGTGTACCTGTGTGTGTGTGTGTGGGTGTGTGTGTGTGTGTGTGTGTGTGTGTGTGCGTGCGCGGGGGCGGCCTTTTGGGATTCAGTGATCAAATTTCACTTTTACTGAGGGGTTGTAAAACTTTGAGTGTTGTTGACATGCCAGAGGAGGTGTGGTGAGGGAGGTGTGGTGAGGGAGGGAGGGCAGATCCCATGCGTGAATATAAGAGCCACTGCAGGCTTCTGGACTAAAAGCTTTTCCTCCAGGACGCATCTTGTGAAATACTGAATGTGAGCAGGTACGTTCCTCCGCACGCTAATGAACAATCTCATGCTTCTCTTGGTGCTTTTGCAATGCTGAGTGTGTGCTGTTGTGTGTTGCAGCTGTGGAGTTTAGATAACATGCTGCCAGTGAATTCAGACATAATTAATCACAAATTGTTTTATGTAAACTCATTAAGCTTCAGATGAAACATCTGCACACAGCTGGAAACCAGACAAGGATCACAAAAAATGTAATCAGGGGTCGAAGACATGACCTGTGTCTTTCTCAAGAACTCAGTTGGAGGGGTCTGTGATGGGAAAATGCGAACAGCAGCCAAAATGTGCAACACAGAGACGGGTGGGAAACTCTGCTTCTAATTGTGTGTGTGTTTATTTCTGGGACTGAATCAGTTTGTGTCTCTGCAGCGATCCGCACAACAGCAGCCATGAAGTTCCCCGCTCTGTTCTTCCTCCTGATCCTCACCTGCATGTACATGAGTCTGGCACAAGGTAAGATCACACTCCATTCACACGTATGGTAGAATGATATTAACTGTGTTTAGTTTGAAGGCGGATAAAACTGTCCCTTCGTTATTCATAATGCCTCAATGTCACCACAGACTCAGGGACAGGTTTATTCCACAGGCCATGAGGCTATTAAACACCTGAACTCTGTGGAGAACATCCATAAACATTCTTCTGTTTGCATTTTGCAAATTATTTATCTAATATATAATTCCATTTACTTGCATATAGACTCGTCTTGCACTATTTCTATTTTATTTGTATTTACTTGCACATCTCAAAACATTCTCTTGCACTTGCACATCTGTTTTATTTGTTCTAGCCGTTATCTCCCTTAAGGAGGGGCTGCCCTAGCAAGTTGTCGTGGTTACCAGTTTGTGACCGGGCAGCTCTCGGTCAGAGATAGTTGTCGTTACGGGACACCTGGAACACATCCTTCTCGGGGTGTAGATGACCCCGAGCCATAAGAGACAACAAATGTGATCCAGTGTCCTCAGCTGTTTACTCTATCTATTGAAGAATGTTGATTATTACACTCTGAACTAAAACCTGGAGCTACAGGAGGGCTCTTCAGAATTGATTGTGGCATCTCAACCGTGTGGTCAAACCGTGGCCCGTGATATGTCTTTCTCCGGCCGTAACTCCAAATAAAGTGTTTGCCATCAAGGCTCCAGCTCTCCTCGTGTCTCTCTGAGTCCTGACTCTCCAATTGCTTCAGAAGTTACCGCCACACCTGGGACTTCAGTTTTTCATTGCCATATCTACACTGTAGTTAATGTGCAAGTGACAATAAAGCCTTTCAACTGGTTGTGTAATACCAGCATGTTATATTGAGAGCTAAAGGGAACTGTATATGCATGTTGAGAACTTGTCTGCAGATGTATTTCATAATCCACATTCCTTTAGATTAGTAATAAATCTTATCGTTCAATGGAGTGAATTATTCTGTTCAAAATAAATTACCGCAACACTTCATGCCAACATGTGATCTGCCTGGGCTTGTTGTTATTGGCTGCTTTCTTTCATGTGGTAAACTTTTGACAGGTCTGAGAAAATAAAAAATGCCCCCTTCTGCGAAATGCAGCAAATTGGTGACATATGTTTGGCATCAAAATGAAACAGACAGTTTCTTGTTTGAGGCAAAGTAAGTGTGACACATGAATATTGTTGGCGAGTAGTTCAGAGTTACATGATTAGACAAACTGCTTGCCATTAAAAAAGAAATATAAGTAAAGCTGCACTGTCTGTCCGGCAGTGTCTCAGTCAGTAGGGGCTTGGACTGTGAGCCGTGGGGTCGCCGGTTCAAGTCCCCGACCAGACCGAAAATATGGAGTGTGGACTTCTACTTGGAGAGGTCACAGTTCACCTCTTGCCCTTGAGCAAGGCACCGGACAACCCCCCACTCCCATTGCTCCCCGGGCGCTGTACAATAGCTGCCCACTGCCCCTAGTGCTAGACTCCTGGTACTAGGATGGGTTAAAAGCAGAGGCCAAATGTCACTGTGTGTGCTGTGTGCTCTGCATGTGTGACCATTAAAAAGGGTTTCATCCCTTCAATTCTATTTAGAAAAATACTGCATGTTTTCTCTTNTAATGATAACATCTAAAAAAACTCTGTATTGTTCTTGTCCATGAAGAGGTCAGAGGTCAGGTGCTCTTTAGAGATGTCAGTTCCCACTTTCTCACACAGATCTTATCTGACAGCACTTAAGCTGTCCAGATGTGTGACACCCTGTCAAAGCTTAAGTGTTGATCATGTATAATAAGTTATTGGGCCCATGTTAAAAAGCTCATTCCCGTCACTTTCCTCTACAGCTGAAACCATTTTACACTCCATTCTCTTTCCCAGGAATATGATCATGATTTAAACTGCATGTTGTCCCCCTTTGCACTGTTATCATTCACACTGACTTGTTTTCCTGCAAACCAAAGTCCAGCCTGTACATTTGTTCAGACATTTAGGGAGGCTGGTTCAATCCCCCTGCAGTCAGCATGTCGTTGTGTCCTTAGACAAGACACTTCACCCCAAATAGCTCCTGTGGGGATTGCTCCACAGTATTGAATGTCTCTCTTTAGATAAAAGCGTCTAACAAGTGACATGTAATGTTTACCGTGGTGCTGATAAATGAACCCTGAATAAAGAACATTTGAGATAAATAAATAAACACGCAGAGAAGGCCCTCCGTTGGCCCGTATTCTGACCAGATGAATGTTTCTGCAGCTTTCAAGATTCAATGCAAGTTCCTTTTGGATTAACAGCATATGTGGCTGATCAACTGTGTTTGCGTAACTGTGTGCAAATGTGTGTAAAGTGTGTTTGTGTTAAAGTGGATGTTCTAACAGCAGCATGGGGGCTGTGGGGGCGTCCCGACCCTTCAACCTTAAATAACCCTTATGGGAACTCGTGTAAAAAAAAACTAAAATTGATGAAATCCTGACAAATGTTTAAAAAACCACTCAGGGAAATATTCTCTCTAAAGACCCTTGAGATCTGGCTCTCTAAACGTTTTCAGTGGAGACACCTCAGTCTTTTTAATGTTTTCTAAACTTATCATGTTGAAAAGTCTGGCATGTCTTGTTGTTAATCGAAGAACCTTGTGTTCTTCTGTTTTTTGCTGCTGCATTGTGGGTCCCTTTTCAAACATGAAAGGCACTTGGCATGCTTGCTACTACATAGAGGACCTAGGACAACTTATACAAAACACTGAAGTCATGAATCTAAGTCTTACCTGTCAAATACAGAGGATGTGACCTTAGTGTACTCAGTGTTCCCTACAAGAGAAACTTATTTAGGAATGTATGACTGTCTTGTAAGGTAAAAAAAGAAATACTAGGAAAAAGGCCAGGCTTTATAGTCTATTTACAAGCTTTATCATTAGATAGATAGATGGATGGATAGATAGATAGATAGATAGATAGATAGATAGATAGATAGATAGATGGATAGATAGATGGATGGATGGATAGAGATGGATAGATAGATATAGGATAGATGGACAGATAGATAGATATATGGATAGATAGATAGATGGATAGATAGATAGATAGATGGATAGATAGATAGATAGATAGATAGATAGATGGATAGATAGATAGATAGATAGATGGATAGATAGATGGATAGATAGATAGATAGATAGATGGATAGATAGATGGATAGATAGGGATAGATGGACAGATAGATAGATAGATGGATAGATGGATAGATAGATATAGGATAGATGGACAGATAGATAGATATATAGATAGATAGATAGATAGATGGATAGATAGATAGATGGATAGATGGATGGATAGATAGATAAACAGATGGATAGATGGAAAGATAGAGATAAAGATAGATAGATATATAGATAGATATAGATAGAGAGTTATATGTATCCTTTTGCAGAAAATATTTTTCCCAAATTCCAGAGAATGGAGCATAACCAGACTGTTTGTACTTGTGGTGTGATCCCTCTCTGAGGGGGTGTTATTTTTTTTCAGTAAAAGATCTGATCTGCTCGAGTAGCAGTTTACTTTTTATTTGTAGTGTTTAGTTTGCACAAGATTGTAAAAACGTACAAGAAACACTGCACCGCCATCTAGCGGTCAGCAGTCAGAACAGCATCCCATTCAAGAATCCATTCAAGAGTTCCAGTTCCGGTTTTTGGGATGAGGCCCGTCCCTCACTCCCCTCCACATCCTTACCGGTTTTACCGGGGCCGTCACCGACTCATCCATGTGGGCGTTACCGACCGGCTCGCTTCCAACAGCCACTAAGCAACCAGCAGTCAATCAACACACTGCAAGCTGCAAGTCATCCTGACTACATATTTTTTTATAACAGTTGTATAAGTACAGTCGTGTGCTAGCCAGCTCTTACTCAGCAGTTTTACACTGGCCAGCCACCTGTCAGCTCGCCACCGAAACACATGGATCATCAGAACAACATGGAAAATGAGGCAAAGATGTTCCTGAGCCAAGCGAAGACTCTCAGGCTGCACACCGGGAATATAGTCAACCGAAGCCGGCTGAAAAAGAAGTGTCCGTGCTCCCCCAGCGAAGAGGTAAGCTAACGTGAATAACGGTCAGAATTCAAAAACACCGGCCGTTGGTTAGCTCGTTTCAGCCGTTGGTGTGCCAGTTTAGCTTCTTAGCTTTGTTTGTTTGTTTATTTATTTAAAGGACAGAGCACATTAATCCACATTGCTGTAAATGAGCCAGTGTTAGCCAGCAGGCTAATTTTCAACTGTTGTCCTTGGCAAGATGTTAAATGACCACAACAAGACTAGAAAATAAAAACATGATTAAATAGAGTAAAGCTTAGCCTTTGAGTTAACAGTAGGCTACCTGTCTTAATAGGTAACTTAGACTAGCTAACCATTCTAGTGTGTGTTAACTGATAAAAAGCACTGTTAGCAGCCCATAAAGATTTATATAAAGGGCTATTTAAAAGTGTACTTGTCGGGGTCAGAAGTAACTAGAGATAGATAGTTAGAGACTTTATTCATCCCAAATTGGGAAAGTTAAAAAAAGTGATATCACAAATAATGCTTGATTAAAATGTTCTATAAAAGACCAAAATACTGCAGCAACAGAAATATAGACTTATACTACATGAGCAGAAACACATAGGATAGTATATCAATTATAGCTGTAACTAAGTAAACTAAGTATATTTACTCAAGTAGCACACTAAACATTTCGGACTTAAGAGTTCTACTTTAACAGTAGAAGACCATAGTATTTGTACTTTTACCGAAGTAAAGGATCTGAGTACTTCTGTCACCTCTGCAGGAATGTGTCTGAGATAAGGTCAGCTTGAAAGTTGGAGTTTGAGTCTAAAACACTGGGAACTATCTCCTAACTGGGTTGAAGAATCCAATCCTCGACTACCTGTTTTGGCACTGACTGCGTACGTTCACTGAATAAATATGCGGGGGCAATTCCTCAAAGAAATGGTTCAGACTTGTTTCTTCTTACAGCATTGCTTCAGTTGCTACACCACTTGATGTCTAACAGGTTTAACATCACCTGTGGTTTTCCTCGAAATATATTGCCTAGAGGTGTAATACATACACTTTGTTTTGGCTTCAGTGCAAAGTTTATTATATAATCTTTTATTGTTCAGATCAACAATAAAGAAAGTAAAAAAAGTCATGGTTGACATACTGTTGACGACAGGATACAGATATAATGTGGCTGACATCCAACAAAAAAAAAGTAATGCAGAAAAATGCTTTAAAAAGTAATTTAGACGCCCCATTGTCTCATCGAACTTCTCTTTCTGATAGTTTTCGTATCCTCTTTCAAGAATCTGCAGTAATGCTGCATATGCATATTTCAAAGGAGTCACCAAAATTGTATTATTTTAAAGTTGTAATATGACTGGGAGCCAAACAAATGTGGATGCTTGAAGTTGTCCTAAGTCTATCTTTCGAAGTAATCTAAGCCTACTGTATCTTCCATTCACATTATTTCTAACTTTTAATGAACCAGCTGTGACTGCGGCTGCTAAAGTTTGTTTGTCTCATTTGGGGTCACTAGTTCTTCTTTCTCACGCCTGTATGAACCAGCTCTGCTCCCAGTCTGTCTCTCCGTGCTCAGCCGGACATCTCGACGTTTGGATTCTTTTGACATTTTCTTTCAAACATCCATAATCTACTTCACGGATGCAGCTGGCCTTCTCACGTCACACTTATCCTTATGTAAATAGTTTGAAAACAAAGACAAACAAAAAAGAAACATTCATCAGCCCTTCTTCTCCTTGTTTGTTTTTCCTTTTCCAACTGATTTCATTGTTTAGAATAAACTGCGGCCCTTGAGTTTTTGCCGCAGCACGTCACAGATATCCAGCTGTCGTTATGAGGCCTTCTGAGGATAAAAAAACTGCGACTAGAAAGTTCCTCAAATGATCTTTAAACATTGTTTTCTGTTTGGTATTTCAGCTTCAAGACTGCATTCAAGCCGCACTGAGTGATTGGAAGGCTGCCACAAAACCACCATCCAATGTAAGGACACATTTACACTTCTCATGTCCAGCTGGTTCTCAACGCCTCCTAAACCACTTTTGCATGTTTGGCATCGACACAGAGGAATAAACAAAAGTATTTGCATTGATGGTCAAGCTGTCGGGCAGCGGAGGTCTAGTGCTTGGGAAAGTAAAATAACTTTAGTGATGACATCAAAGGATGCCTGCAGGCGCGCTGAAAAGAAGCTGTCATGATGAATGTTCATGCAGTGCTGGCTTCCAAAGGCGCCATTCAGAGAGTGCGTCTGTGCAGAGGTGCAGGGAGAGGGGGGGGGGCACAGAAACGTTGCTCTGGTGGTTTCATTCATAAAGTGTGATCGGATTTCAAATAGTCAGTGCGAGTAGATTTCGTCAAACTAACAAAATATGTGAAATGGAGATAACGATCACTGAGGGATCATCTGTAGGAACCCGCCATTCCTGTTTGACGCGCCCTGGCTGCTCCACTAGGCCTCGCTAACCTTTTTTTACTACGCCCACTGGACACTAACAGGGATGAGGGAGGTTTGAAAGAGTTGAACTAAGGAGTCTTTATACTTGCAAATACAACAGGTTTAAGGCACATCCCCTGCAGGGAAATAGCTAAGACAGGACCTTTGAGTCGGGGGGGGTCTGAGGGGGTTTCATGTTAGGAAAGAGACTGACTTTACTGCGGTTGGATCAACATAAAGGCGTCAGCAGAATGTCGCTGTTACATATGAACCAACTAAATGAAGCCACCTCAATTCTACCTTTTCATTAAGAGCTCTGTAATAAATGTGTCACTCATGTCATTACCAAATCCTTTACACAGAGGGGACACATGTTGATGAAGAAGAGGGGACACATGTTGATGAAGAAGAGAGGACACATGCTGATGTAGAAGAGACATGAAGAAGAGGGGACACATGTTGATGTAGAAGAGACATGAAGAAGAGGGGACACATGTTGATGTAGAAGAGACATGGAGAAGAGGGGACACATGTTGATGTAGAAGAGACATGGAGAAGAGGGGACACATGTTGATGTAGAAGAGACATGAAGAAGAGGGGACACATGTTGATGTAGAAGAGACATGAAGAAGAGGGGACACATGTTGATGTAGAAGAGACATGAAGAAGAGGGGACACATGTTGATGTAGAAGAGACATG